AGCATAAATATACGATAAAATTCCAACATTTATATAGTAATATTTGTATCGATATTAATAAAATTAAAAAAAAAGATTCTCTCCTCTATCCCTTACATGTGATTTAAAATATTGAATTTTAAACTTGATACAAGGCAAGTTTATCCGAAACGATTCTCGTCTGTGTGCTTTATTTATATATTAAAAAAATTTGGTAAAATATAAATCAGAATAGTTCGAAGGCTTGTCGATGCAGGCCAATATATTCCCATTAACGCAATTATCCTCCGTTCAACTACCTACCGGTTGTCCACGTTATGACGAGGGCATTGGAATCCATTAATACAGCTTCGGTCGCGCGCAGGTTCATTATCGTGCATTAATTAGCAACACCCTATATCACTACACTAGCAATACTATCGGTATGGCTTGCTATTTCGTGGCTAACCACTGGCTCGTGATGTCCTGACCGCGCGATGGCAGTCAGTTTGATCCGATAAAAGAGACGACGTTTTATTTATCGCGACAAGTAAGTAAATGTGTGGTACAATGTTTGTCAAACATTTTTGTTATCGTAATCTTTTTCTTTTTTTACACCAAGATATCCTACCGGGATATCCTACAGGGATATTCTACCGGATGTCCGTTGTAAATATAACAATTTTATGTAACAATACTAAGTTAAAATGGATAATTATTTCGATAAATAGAAATTTGATATTTTATCGTTGCGATTATTTTTTTAATATTAAAAATTAAAAAAAACCGTTTTATATATTTTCATGGTATTTTCGTTTTTAAATTCTTTTTATTATAAATAATTTGTAGAAATAGCTGACACGTATTTCGCGGAGCGAAATTTGCTGTAGATTCGAGCGTTTTATCCTATCTCCTGATTCGCGAAACGACGCTCTTTGCTCATCGACCAACGCCAATATTTCGGCACTCGAGTGCCTTTTACGTCCGCTATTGGAATTTGGATGTGGCCGGCTACCAAGCCGGCTCGAAACGAGCACCGCGAAACTTTCGTTTCCGCTCAATCGTCAATTTCGCCGACAAACGAGAAATGATACGAGCACCATGGCAAAGTCGTAATTTTTGACGGAAAAGAGCCCGTACTGTACGTATACACACTATGTACGGTCATTGCGCAAGATCTTCACGATTGTGAAGTATTTTTGTGCAGCCTTTAGAGTTCAAATTAATCGAGCCCGTAACTCTTGCTTTTTGTTGTTTCAGATATTTTATTTGAAACATAAACACGTTGCCCTCTTTTTTCTTATATTCATTATTTAAAAAAGTTCTCTTCAACAAAAAATACCTAAAAGAAGCAATAAAAATTATTAAAAAAAAAAGATGAAAGAAAAAAGCGACTTTTGCGCGAAATAGAAAGACTCGAAGAAGAAGTTCAAAGGAGGAAGTGATAGTAGAAACTAAAAAGAGAAAGAGGGATAAGAGAAAGATGGGAGGAAGGAGATGCGCGAGAGAGAGGCAGGATGAGGAAGACGAGAGGAGTGCGACCAGAATTGGATAGGATAGGCGAACTGGTGATTACAGAGGCCGGAGATTCCCCGGGGACGAGCACCAGTCTCCCGCGGGCTTCCACCTAATTCCATCCTGGCTGACTACTGACTCTCTCTCTGCCTCTCCCACCACCCTCTCTATCTATCCCGTATACATTTATAGCCTCTCTTTCTCTGCCTCTAACCGCTCACCTCTGTTGACGTCCTTCTCTCTCTTTCTGCTCTTTGCTTCGCGGTAAAGCACTCCGTCCTGCTTCTGCCCTCCGTGTTTGATCAGCCCACACAACCCTCTCCCTCTTTCATTCGTGCACGCGTTTCTCCCTCCCTCTCTCGTCTCTTCGTTTTCCTTTCTATTTATCTCGCTCGCTGCATTTCTCTTTTGGCTTCTCTCTGTTTATTCCGCATTTACGATTCGCCTCTTTCTCCAGTTCACCGCTTTTCGTGTCATATTTTTCTCTCCTTCTTCCCTCCTCCCCCCCGTTTTCTATCTTTCACTCTTTATGGCAACGTTACTGTATTTCGGTTACACATATGTACTGGTGTTGCACGTATGCTTTCGACTTGCAACAATCAAACGCCCTCGAACCGGCGATTTCTACCGTTCTCTGTCTCCGTTCTTGGTTATTCATTGTGTGCGGATAGATTGATGTATAAACGCTTTATTCGATAATTGATATCATTAAATAAAAAACTGACAAAGTCGAATATCTGGCAAAAATGAACAATTAAATATGCATATTATGTATTTTTAAAAAATTATTTGCGCGAGAAATTTAGAAAATTAATAGAATCATTTACAAATAATCTAGTATAATTCCGTAACAACAAGTAATATATATGTCCGTATATTTTGTTAATATATCATAGCAAACATCCAAAAAAACTACGAGTAAAATAACAGAATTAATAGAAAAAGTATATTACGATATATATATTTCCATTAATATTAAATAGGAATAACGAATAAAAAGATTGACTGAATTATATTCACTCGATAAATTCACTAATCCTACCTTAAAAGCCTCATACATTATTCCAAATTTTTGACTTTTACTCATTTTCATTTATTATGAATTATGTTCACATATTTGGAGCCAAAGCATTTTTTTTTTTAACTAAATAACGACGTACGCAATCGCGAAATAATTAAAACATTCTAAATCTTCAAGTTTCAAAATTACTTGAATAATTTAATCTTCCTTAATTGCTGAAGTTTTTTCAACAATAGCGCCTTTTTACACGTCTATCTTACGTCACTTTTATGTAGCAGTACGCTTGCACGTGTCTAAAAGTTTCACGAAGCACCCTTTTAGTTCGACTTCTTTCTCACCCCTCCCATCTACTAACGCCTTCGCACGAACACCTTGCAAAGAACTTCGCTATTATTCTGTGTGTCTTTGCGACACATATGAGAGCTCATAAACCTTAATCTCGTAAAACCGTCGTCCAGAGACGGCAGATCTTCGTGTCTGCCTCTTTCATTTTGATTTTTTTCTCCTCGCGTTTATCGCGCGCAAAATTCTCTTTGTTTATGTTTCACAATAATACTCAAGATTCTCTTAACATTATCATAAATTTATATTAAAAAAACCTTACTTTTCAACATATAATTCGTGCAATTATGTAATTTGTACAATTTTATAGTTTAAAGAATAAGAGAGAGAGAGAGAAAACGTAATTTGTTCATACACACGTCAAAGTTAAAGAGATTAAAACACATGAAAACCTATTTTAATTTCACTCTCGAAGTGCATTATTAAATAATCCTTTTTACAAACAATCAAATGTATTTATTTTCTAAAGAGATGATACTGAATCCCAGAAATTGAAAAATTGAATATCTCTCAAACTCTCATTATAGAGTCTTACGTCAAACAATAAATTATAAATTGATCAATTATTAAAAAATGTGTTATTGTACCACGAGAATTACAGTCAATTGCTTATATTTAATAAATAATATATGCATGTGATATACAATCATTAGAATTCAAATTTCAAGATCACTTAGATATAATTCAATCATTTCAAATTAATGCAATCTTGATAAATGATACAATATTTAAGATATTTTTTGATAATGACAGACGTGTAAAGTTGACAGTACTCATAGGTTATGATAACTCGCTCTCACTCGAACAAATTTCCATTTTCCATTTATTTACATCCATCAATATTTCTTGGCAAATTCTAATGATCGTATTATCCGTATATCGAATAAATAAAACATGACCCAACAAGGGCAAGACTTACGTTTGAGAGATCGCGGCTTGGCCTGCTTCCTCCTGGACATATCACCGCACTGACACACGCACTTGCGAGCGTGGACGGGGAATCAATAGCAGCTCTTCACGGCATGTCACCACGCGCAGATCACACTTGGAATTACGACGAAACGATCTATTTATTATTACTTCGCGCCGCGTACTTACGCCTTATCCCGAAACGCGACACGAATGAACTCGTTCGCGAGAACGTAACATAAGCGCGTGAAGTTGATCTCGAAAGACGCGCGCGATCGAGAATCGAACGTCAAAGTGTCAAGCGTACCACGTGGTCTCCTCGGCGCGCCAAGAGCGTACGCGGCTGAACGCACTAAATCGGCGACAGCCGCGCTCGGAGGACACGCGACGAATGACGTAGCCGCGCAGCTTCCCCTCGCGGCCGCAGAGAACCACTGGCGTCGCGCAAGCGTGTCACCTGCGCGCCCGTCATCCGTCATACGCACGCGCGCGCACACACACATACACGCGCGCATATTCGTCGTCCTTCTCTCCCTCCCGCTCCTCGATCTGAAAATAAACAAACGTAATGTTTTTGTGCCGTATCTTTCGCGTTTCTTTTTATGGATAATTACTTGTAAACACACATGTATAATGTCGAGAGTTAAACAGCGAATTTTTATGTTCTTTTTCCTTTCATAATTAGTTATATAAAATGTAGAAATTATATGCCCATACAGAATAGAACATTGTTGTAATATTGCAGCGATATTACGGCAATATTACAATGTTGCTGTGCTATATGCGCATCAATTTCTATATTTTATATAACTAATTATGTATATAACACATGATGAAAGTCTTTTTTTGTGTGCATGTTCGCATGCATATATAATATCAATATATCGTATGTATTAATACAATTCATCACTTTATATGATTCTTATGATATCGTCAATATAAGGATAAAGGGATAACGTACCGACAGGGTAACCTATATCAAAATTGTATACGTGTGTATGAATAAATGTCTTCGATTATTCGTTTTTCGCACATTCTCGCTTCTCGTGACATTAATATTAATCCAATGCGTAATGTTTAATACATAACGCGGTCGAAATCGACGAAATTTATGCATACAGTTAATTAGGAAACGACAACATTTGTGCACATACCTGATTAATTGTAACCGTATAACGCTTTGGAGAGAAGATACGCGAAAGCGATTTCGATCCATCCCGGGCAAATTGATGTTGGTATTCGGACGTATTAATAGCAATTGTTACAAGAAACGTCTGATACTTTATGAGACACACGCGAGATACGCTTTTTTGAACGTTTAATAATCGCGAAAAGAATGGGACGATCCGCTCGTCCGTCCATCTGTCGTGGCGTCTTTTGTGACTATATTCAAAATCTATCGAATATTGCGATTCTCGAAATATCGAAAATTATTGAGAGGGCGTCATAGTATATGTGTGTACTTCAGCTTTGTTATCTTTTACGCGAGGGACACAGAAATTCTTGGAGACGATCTTCGGTGCCAAGAGGCATATTTATATCAGTACTTGTACTTATGCGTGACATCTTGTCATCTCGTTGTTATCACACGTAAGTTTGTGATTTTTCGTTCGTTATTGCTGACTTTTAGGTTTCTTGTTGTTCAAGGTTAGGACACAAAAGCGGTTATCTTATAAGATAAATATTATGATTAAGCAAATTTGTATGAAGATTTAGAATTGTTTCCAGTTTAAATTTAGTACTAAATTGTGTTTGATTTTTGAAAATTTTTACATTAATTAATATGATATTTATATGCCTTTCATTAATAGTCTTTATTAATTTGTTCTTCATTGGTATGACTTTGTTTCTAAGTTTCCTTACTGTCCTTATTGTTTTTCGAATATTTTGTTAACCCTCTCTTCGCCATTAGTTGAAGTAAATAATGTTTGAGGTACTATGCATTGCATAAAATTGTTTTTTGCAGAAAATGTTGGCATTAGAACGTATACCTGATCAAACTGGATACTTGGTATTGACAGAGGATGGTGCTGTATTAACGGTAAGAAACTGCTTATGACAATATCTTCTTATTTGTAATAATAAGTACAATATTTTATATTTGTTGTTGCAGTCTGGAGGAGATTTGGAAAATGATGAGAGAATAGCAAATATCATTAGTAGTTTAGTCACATTGACAAGTAAAGTTGATCCCAAGGCGTTTCCTTTGAACAATGCCTTTGAAAAAATATCAATCAATTATAAAGATCATTGCTATGTTATATGTCTTTCCAATAAAAAGATTTATGTGGTGAAGAGGAATCTACCATCTCCAACTGCAGCAGACATGGAATTGCAACCTACCATTGAGATGTGAATTAAAGTAATTCATGCAAGATAAATAAATATACTTTGTAAACTTTAATATATTTAACGTACACAAGTTTAACATCTTCAATCATTTGGAAAAATTTATTCATTGTTATGTATTTATCTAGAAATATGTCATTTTTAAGAATAAAGTTAGTGCAATGTATTGTGTAGTTTTAGAAAAGGGTAAATGCTTTGTGTTATTTGATGTAATTTCTTTCAATTAATAATGTAGAATATTCTTCCAACGTATAATTTTATGACAGTTATAACTGTTATCATACTTAAAATATATTTTTTATCAAAATACTTTTAAATATTTTATCTATTGTACATTGCCATTTTACATTTTTGACATTAGTTTGAGGAAACTTTCGTCTTAGTTTGGAAACTAACATTATTTAAGATAAATCTATTTTCATAATATTTTATTAACAAATATAATAGATATATTAATATATATAAATATAATTAGATTGTGCTCATTTTGAATTTATCAAGAAAGTATCAAACTATTAAGTACTGTCACTACTAGAACTATCATAATTTACTAAGGATGTGCTTGAATTATTGATTTTCGACGTAGTAGCATCATTTCCTGTTACTTCCTGTACTTTTGGCGATTCCTGACTTTGTGGTTTTAACTGATTATTTGAAAATAATATCTTTTTCTTATTTTTATATCGTGCAATCGTGACTAACCGTTTTAATGTCGTGCCTCCTTTTTTCTTTGTATCTAAAAAAAATACATTCATAAATGTAATAATATATAATATATATATTTTGAATTCATTTAAATGCTCAATTAAACACCTCTTTTATGAGTGAGTAATTTAGCTAATTTGATGTCATCCTCGTGTTCATTTACTATGTCAATATTCAGCCCAGTCTTTTTTAATAAAGCATGATCTTCAGTTTGCTTCTTCTTGAGTTCCTTTTTCTTTTCCTTCAAAAAGAAAAGTGTCAGAATCAGGAAAAAAATTCAAGTTTATTATTAGTAATGAAGTATTCTAATTGCAATAATAGATATATTATTAAAAATAAATTTAATGTTTATACCCGAAATAAAGCTCTCACTGCACAATTCGAACTGTAGTCATCTTTCCAGATACTTTCGTTCAAAGCTATTGCATCTTCCAGTGCCGAGTCTCGAGATTTAGCTACTTTTTTATCTTCAATACCATGCTCCAATTTGTACATTGCATCATCATATAATCTGTGCGACACTTCCTTTGTCTCAGGCACGACTTGTTCATTCTGCTTAGGATCCCATCGATTTTCTTGCCGCCTTGCGCCACTGACTATAACATAGTCCAAATTCTAGGAAATGATTAAACATATTTTTAATTAAATACAAAAGCATTTTTATCTTCATTCATTTCAATACTATTCATTCAGTACTATTACTTATGACTTACAGCAGGATCAGTTTTAATTTCAAAGTGATTGTCACAAAGATGACATTTCATGCGAAATTGATAAAGCGGAGTGCTGTAGTACATTCCAATCTTCTTTTTCTCTGCATTATAACGAACACCCATGCCAATGTGATTCCCACATCCATTGCACCATATATTATAAGGCATCTCGAACCGTATGATCAAGATGCCCATGTGGAGCTTACGGGCTCGTTCACGCAATGCATGAGTGCCCAGGAACTTATTGAGACCACCGGCACGAGGATCATAATCCGGTGGATAGTACAAATTTGTTCCTTTTCTTTCTCCCATTGTGCTACAATTTATTTGTAAATATATAAAACTTAAAATAATATAATTGCAAATGATAAATAACTGATAAATATGTAACGCAGATTATTATTAATTTTTCATAAAAAATTTGTTTTGTATGTGTCATCATAATTTGTACTACATATATGTGTACGCTGTAATTATTATTAATGATGAAACACTGTATTATATACCTTAATTTCTTGTCAAATCCTAGAAGAAAATATAAAGTCGGAGTTTGTAGTCAAGCTTTCTCACGTTTGTCAGATACCTCCGACGACATTCGACTTTGACGTCTCTTCAATGTAATGTAAAATAGTTTAAAAAACGTTCACGTATATTATATTTTCTGTCACTTCATGCGCATCATATGTTAATCGGAAAGTACCCTCAAAGAGAAGACTGAGAGATATCATGGCCTGCTTTTAGATGATCCCTGAAAGCGATACTCCCTCTATGGACATTGAAAACGAGAACATAAACTACAAAACAAATGACCACGAATGTTCTCAGAGGGTAACATATATGTCCCTCTGATAATATAAATAATATAAATAAAAATATAAATAGTTTAATTAATAATAATTTATTATATAAAAATATTAGTATGTCTCTCTTTTCACGCTATTATTTATATTATATATTTATATTATATACTTATATTATATATTTATTTATTTATGAGTCTTCTTTTTCTTTTTCTCAACATCATTTATTTATTTATTTATTTATTTAGTTTGCTCTCAGTCTTTTAAAATGCAAAACTAAATATTATAAGATTTGACTTTGGAAAAGCGCGATGAAACAATCGAATCATTCGTAATTCATATCATTAGCATAATATACTATGAATTTTCTACGTTATATATTGAATCGAAATTGCGCGAAAGAGGAAAAAAAGAACAAGCCTATGAATAGACATTTCCATCCTTTACTAAAAGAAAAAGAAATTAAAAATATCTCTCAATTTTTTCTCTGTTTCTTCGGGCAAGTCTACATATATGACCAATATGATTAATTGATTCTATCTTTATATATTTATCATTATGTGCTTTCAGAAATCAAAGTTGCGCGAACGTTGAGCACAGGAATGGCCATGCGCAGAAACGAATGCACAGTGGTTCGGCCGCCATGTTGGCGCGTGCTGCGACGTCACAGCTACGTCACTGCTACGTCATACGCGTCATACGGCCGCCATGTTGGCGCGTGATCAGAGTCATACGCAGTTACACGGATCGTCGTACGTCCGCATTTTTCGCATCTTTTAACCGTTTTTAAACGAATATCGCGAGTAGACGAGCGTCGAGAGTCCAAGGATGATCGCGCGACTTTTATAGTGTGTCGATGGAAACGCGCGACAGCGATTTTTGACGATATTCAGTGATGGCGTCATTGCGAAGATGGAGCGAAATTGCGTCGCGTTATTCGGGCCCTTGATGATGATTATCGGATGCCAGCGAGTATCAGGAGTGCCGAATAAAGTGTCGCGCGTTCGCGTTGATGATATCGTGTGGATTTGTGTGCATCAAGATCGGAATGGGACGTCCCGAGGCGAGCGAACTGTTTCGAGGAGGAGCGGCCTGTGGAACAGCCGGTGAGTAGATTTGATTTATCATATTTTCGAGATAATTCGTGCTCATTCGACGCTTATACAGCATCGCGATGTCCCGAATTACATTCGGACAAATCGACATCATAATTCGATTCGGTACAATTCAAATAAAGTCGATCGCGTGAAGATGATTAGACTAGAAGCGATTTCAAATTTATTTTGTACGCGCGCGCAGTACTGTACAGCCTATCTCGTAGGGCTGCCAACTGTTAAACGATAAATTTGTTTGATCTAACCTAACCTAACCTAATCTCTCAGTGTCTATGGATATCGAATGTAAATACAAGCGTATGCTGCCTGGATTGTATCATGCTTTCAAAAATAATATTTAATTATTTCATTAGTGTATTACATTTTATTACGTAGTATATTATTCGCATTAAATGTGCGACGTACAGTTTTACACATTTTAATGAGGAGCATATAATATAATTGGTTAGATTAAATTAAAACAAGCTGTTGTGATTTATTTAACGTAATAGGATTAATTTGACAAATGTGCAGCTATTGAAGTTACATGATATTTGTGGACACATTTTTAAAGTAATCATGAGTGTCTTATCTCATCTCGATTATATGAAATTAAAATATAAAATATTTATTCATTTCACATTAACGTTATTCATTACAAGTACTATATTACTACATTACAAGTACTTTTCTTATATTTCAATCATATTTAACCATTTATTTCATCGATGAAGCTTTTCATATATCGCAGACAATATGATACTGTGTGTGGAAGTTTTGGAAACACAGGTAATACATGGCACAAAAATAATTTGCTCTCAAGTATTGTGCGCATTTCTCAAAAATAAATCAAATTAAATTATTTTCAGAATCTAAAAATCGCTACATTGCCAGGATTGTATCTTATTATAACTGCGATATTATCACCTTTTAATATGTGTGCGCAGTGTTACATACATAAAATATATAAATTTATTTGAAACGTACTGAAATCTATCTTATTTATAATATTCGTGATATTATAAAAGAAAATTGCAACTGTAATGAAACAGAGCGGTGGAATAATTGGTTGATTGGTTAATTGCAGGTAATTATGTTATACTTATATATCGTAAGAAAGAGAAAATAAAATAAAAGTTGAATACTGAATGTGCTCTAAAGTAAATCTCATCTAAATAAATAAATGCATAAATGTGCGCCCCACATTCCTCATGAAAAAAATACATAATATTAATCTTTATGTATTATTATTTTTAGATTTGTTTTTTATTCTTTTAAATTCTCTAGATACACTTTTATTTCTCCTCTCTTTCTTTTCAACTACTAAATATAGATCTATCATTTTTAATATAGATCTGTCATTTTTAGTGTACATTATTGCAGTAAGTGGAATAAAGAGCAAATCTTTTGGCACATTTAGAATGTACAGGAAAGTCAGTTTTATCTGATGCGTTTTTTTCAATAGAAATATCTGAAAAAATTCATACGTCTTTTTTAATCTTAATCTTTCTAAATAAAAATTAGAATAATAAATTTGCAAAATAATTTGCTTTAATATATTTTTATTGCAAACATATGAAGCAAAGTGCTCAAGGTGCATCACTATGAAAACATAGATAGAATAAAAAGTAGATCGAGATATACAAAAGAATTAAAATATTTACACTACATATTTGATATAGCATTTAATCGATATGTGCAGTAATACAATAAAATCTAATTTTCTCTCGAATTTTTTCACGAAATTTATAAACTACTAGAAAAATATCAAATATTCAAATTGTTCAATAGTCTTGCGAAAAAAGCAGTTCTCGCTTAAAGAATCTTTAGAAAAAAAAAATAAAAAAATTTTAAAGAAAAAAAAGGACAAAAAATTTTTAATCTGATATGGATATTTAATTTTATACTAATATTTTTAATGTAACACTTCATTTATAAAGATTTTATTTTGTGAAACGTTTATACATAAAAGTACAATGATTATAAGGCTTCTTTAATCTATTGTTTCATCTTCGCATGTTTTTCGTCTATAAAATATTTGTGCTTCTGGATACTTTTCTCTGGAAGCTTTATGCAATGTGTGTAACCTAAATCTGTTAACGTACAAGTATTAGAGTAACGGAATAAGTATATGTAATTTGATTAAAAATACGTTTCTTATATGAATTTTTAATTACATATTTTATTATATTACAAATAAAAAAAATCATGCTTGCGCGACGTGATTCTAACAATTTACCGACATGCACAAAATGATGACTTTACCGGCAGTCGAAGTATCTAGACTACGTAATTCTGGCGTTTAACGCGAATGCAGATGGCGATACTAAACAGCAAAAAAGATGGCCGCATTGTGTGAAACGCGAGGCGCGAAATATTGCATTTCGTATATCAATTTATAAATGCATGAAGAAATCCATTGCTTCTAACTCTCCGTTGGCGGGACAACACGCGAGCAAAAATTAAAGTGAAAAAGTAAAGGAAAAATTAAGCAGCAGCAGCAGCAGCGGGCAGCGAGCAGCAGCAGCCTGCAGCGGGCATTTTTTTTTTTTTAATTTGATACTCTTTCTTTTTACAGTTTCGAGCTTTCGCTCATATCCGTCTTTTATCTCTAATTTTCCTATTTCCCTACTTTTATGTTTAAGGATCCTTTTATTTAAACTTTATTCTTTATTTTAATTTGTTTCTCTTCTTATTCTAATTTGTTCCCTTCTTTTTCTTATTTTTTTTTCTTTTTCAGAATTTCGGTCTGTCAGCCGACATCAGCAGCAGCGGGAAGCGGACAGCGGACAGCGGCAGCGGGAAGCGGACAGCGGACAGCGGCAGCGGGAAGCGGACAGCGGACAGCGGCAGCGGGAAGCGGACAGCGGCAGCGGGAAGCGGACGGCGGACAGCAGCAGCGGCAGCGGGCATTTTTTTTTTCTTTTTTTTATTTGATTTTCTTTCCTTTTACAGTTTCGAGCTACAGCAGTAGCAGCAGCGGGCAGCGGAGAGCGGACAGCGGCAGCGGACAGCGGCAGCGTGAAGCGGGAAGCGGACAGCGAGAAGCGGACAGCGGACAGCGGACAGCGGGAAGCGGACAGCGGACAGCGGGAAGCGGGCAGCGAGAAGCGGACAGCGGATAGCGGGAAGCGGACAGCGGGAAGCGGACAGCGGGAAGCGCACAGCTGGAAGCGGACAGCGGACAGCGGGAAGCGGACAGCGGGAAGCGGACAGCGGACAGCAGCAGCGGCAGCGGGCATTTTTTTTTTTCTTTTTTTTATTTGATTCTCTTTCCTTTTACAGTTTCGAGCTACAGCAGTAGCAGCAGCGGGCAGCGGAGAGCGGACAGCGGCAGCGGACAGCGGCAGCGTGAAGCGGGCAGCGGACAGCGGCAGCGGGAAGCGGACAGCGGCAGCGGGAAGCGGACAGCGAGAAGCGGACAGCGAACAGCGGCAGCGTGAAGCGGGCAGCGGATAGCGGCAGCGGGAAGCGGACAGCGGGAAGCGGACAGCGGGAAGCGGACAGCGGACAGCGTGGAGAGGACAGCGGACAGCGGGAAGCGGACAGCGTGAAACGGGCAGCGGATAGCGGCAGCGGACAGCGGACAGCGTGGAGCGGACAGCGGACAGCGGGAAGCGGACAGCGGACAGCGTGGAGCGGACAGCGGGCAGCGGACAGCGGCAGCGGGAAGCGGACAGCGGCAGGGGGAAGCGGACAGCGAGAAGCGGACAGCGGACAGCGGGAAGCGGGCAGCGAGAAGCGGACAGCGGGAAGCGGACAGCGGGAAGCGGACAGCGGACAACGTGGAGAGGACAGCGGACAGCGGGAAGCGGACAGC